GTCTGTGGACTCTGAAGCCGTCACTGCCCGTTCATACCCACACACGCGCGTGTCAGTGGACTCTGAAGCCGTCACTGCCCGTTTATACCCACACACGCGCATGTCAGTGGACACTGCATCTGTCACACGCCTGTGTCCTGTTACCTCCTCGATACCACCCAAGTGGTCTCACACACGAAGAACAGAGTTACTCCATTCCACACCTGCAGGGACTCCTCCAACACTCCAGGTGGCGTCCTGACCTGGCTCAGTCCAAATCCCACATGTGCATTTTCAAAGGCACTCATCTGTGATAAAACCTGATGTTTTCTGGAGTGAGGTCCTACAGTCTTATCAATAAAAGCCTGGAGTCAGATGCGGGGTAACAGCTGAATGGTCAGAGGAGCAAGCAGCAGCCACCAGACTGCTCACCTCTCCGAGATCCTTCCTCTGCCCTTCCTCAACACTCTGCTTCCTGGGTCCTGACAGCCAGACCTCCCTCCGTGCTTAGCTAGTGGCTAGCTCCACCATCTGATCTCCAGGCAAGCTTTATTTGTCAGAACACAAACAAAATATCACACAAGATTTTTCTTTATAGGACTGGAGAGATGGCTCAGAGGTTAAGAGCACTGGCTGCCCTTCCCAGCAACCACAGGATGGTTCAAACCATCTGTAATAAGATCTGGCCTGCAGGCATGCATGGAGACAGAATATTGTCTCTACATAATAAATAAATAACAATTAAATGGATGAATAAACAAATAAATTGAAAAAAATAGTTTTATTTTATTTATTTATTTATAAGCCCGGTGCTGTGAGAGGAGGCATAAGGTAAGATACAGAGACTCAGATGCACAGAATTCTGGGACAGGGCTTCTATTGCTGTGATGGGGCACCACGAGCAAAAGCAACTTGGGGAAGAAAGGGTTACTTTGGCTTACGCTTCCACATTGCAGGCTATAGCTCAGGGAAGTCAGGACTGGAACTCACACAGGGCAGGAACCAGGAGGCAGAGCTGGTGCAGAGGCCGTGGAGGGTGCTGCTCACTGGCTTGTTCAAGCTTTTTTACAGAACTTGGGACCTCCAGCCTGGGGATGGCACCATCACAGTGGGCTGGACCGTCCCCATCAGTCACCAATTAAGAAAATGCCCTCAGGGTTTGGCTCTCCAAGAGGCCTTGTCTCAGTTGAGGTCCCCTCCTCTCAGGTGACTCTAGCTTGTGTCTACTCTCTGATGAGGACCCTGTGCCACCAGGCCCGGCAATAACAGCTTCTAAAACCTGCTTTTAAGGGCTCCTCACTCTCTCCACCACTCCCCTTTCTGAGGCCTCCGCATCCTTCTCTTTTCTTTCCACGTCCCATCAGTAAACTTCCAACATTTATTTATTTATTGTACATTGTTGTTCCCACTGCTGCTAGGCTACAACCATAACCAAATAGTTCTTTTAAGATTTCAGTTTTCAGCTGGGCGGTGGTGGTGCACGTCTTTAATCCCAGCACCCTGGAGGCAGAGACAGAGGCAGGCGGATCTCTGTGAGTTTGAGGCCAGCCTGGTTTACAGAGTGAGTTCCAGGACAGTCACTAAAGCTACAGAGAAACCCTGTCTCGAATAAACAATAAATAAATATTTTAGTTTTCAAAATACTGCCGAGCAGCCAAGCCTCATAAGCAATGGGCACCTTAGTTTTTGTTTTCTGTTTATCAAAGGCTTTTATAAAGAGCGGGACTGAGATACAAATGGATCTCGAGAGTTCGAGGCCAGCCTGGTCTAAAGTGAGTGCCAGTACAGCCAAGGCTACACAAAGAAACCCCGTCTTGAAAAGTCAAATAAATAAATAAGAATAAACAAATAGCGGGTCAGTGGCTGGAAGCGGCTCGTCCAGGCTGACAACAGCCGGCCCAGAATCGGAAGGCAGCTGACACACGGGGCCTTGCGTCGGGTGACAGCTGATCCAGGGAAGTGCTTCCGTGGGGCTTGGGCCTCCATTCTGCCCACGGATTTCCTGCTGGAGCCAGATTGAAAAGCCACCCACGGAGGTTGCCTAGCACAAACCAGGCTTCAGGCCACCAGTCAGGTGTCTGGGCCGCAGAGAGTCAATCCCATCAAATCTGCCAGCATTTTGCTCATTGGTTGTAAAATGGGGCCGTCAGGAAAAGTGAAACACTATCAGCTCTCAGATGGTTGTTCCTGAAGAATCTAGAACACTTCCCCACTGCTGCCTTCTTACACAGCCATTGTCATGCTCGGCTTCTAAGTGGCAGGCATTATAACACTCTGCTAACCCGTACAGTTTTGAAATAATCACACTGGTAACCTGAGACTGACCGTGACTGGACAATTTACACAACCAACCCACAGGTGACCTCGTGAGCATGTGGCCTCCCTCAGGACTGCTGACAGCTGCCGCATCCAGATGTGCACACAGGAGAAAGGAGAGCGAGTGACTGCTGCCCCTGAGGAGGAGAAGACAGAGACCTCCCAAGCCACCAAGGCTTCATTTCCCAGAGCCACGCCCTGTGACCTGGGAAGTAATTGGGATTTCCTGTCTTGTGCATAGGTGACCAGGGGCCCCAGCGAGGACTTCTGCTGATCATGACTAAGTCTCTGTCTGCCCCTGTAGGAGCCAGAGGGCGGCTTGTGAAGATCAGAGTGGAGACAGCTGGGACGCCACTGCTGCACAAGTACAAAGCCCACCTGCTTTCCCCTCCAGGAACCAGGGCGGGAACCGCAGGGGGAATGCCCGGGGCCTCAGGAGCCAGCCCACCTGGAAAGGCAGCCAGGCGTGGTGCTGAGCACCGTGACTCCAGTTCTGGAGACCGCAGGGTCCGCTGGGCTCGCAGGCAGGACAGCCTGACAGAAGGGATCAGCTCTGGGCTTAGAGAAACTCGAGTCCAATGGTGACCCATGACCTCCACACACAGACACAGCACGTATGCCAGCATTCAGAGGCCTCCCAGCCCTGAGACCAGCCTGGCGGCTGCTGGGACACCTCAGTCTCCTGCCTAAGGGCCCCCGACCTACAGGACACTGTTCACTGCAGGATGGAGGGCATGACACCACACCTTTTATCCATCCCAGCACTCGGGAGGCTGAGGCTGGAGGATTGTAAGTTCAAGGCCAGCCTGGCCTACAGAGCGAGTTCCAGGACAGCCAGGGCTACACAGAGAAGCACTGTTTTAAAAAACAAAACAAAACAAAAAAAATGGCAAAAAAAAAAAAATTCTCTGTGTGGGCTGTGTGCTGGACTTCTGTCTCCAGCACTGTTTATAAACCGGGTGTGATGTCCCCATGGAGAGTCACTTCAGCCAGAGAGGCTTTTGACTCCCCCAACAGCAAGAAGCTGCCTTCTACTAACCCCAACCATCACTGTACCCTCCACATCTCCTAGAGTGACAGCTCCATTCTGACCACGCCCCCAGCTCCTCCCTGGGATAGTCTAGTTGGGCTCCATCCCTGACCACACCCCAGCCAAGTATCTGTCTGGCTCTGTTCTTCCAGAACCTGGGAGAAAGTGTTTGCAGACAGTGCTGCAGGACTGAGGAGCTGGTTTGTCTGATGGGATCTCAGACCTAAGACTGGAGAGAGAAACAAAGTTGCGAGAAGACGGGTCCTGCCGCATTCCAAGTCAAGGAGCCTCAATTGAGACAATGCCTCCATAAGACCCGGCTGTAGGCAAGCCTATAGGGCATTTTCTTAATTAGTGATTGATGGGGGAGGGCACAGTCCATTATGGGTGGTGCCATCCTTGGGGTGCTGGCCCTGGAGTCTACAAGAAAGTAGGCTGAGCCAGGCGGATCTCAGTGAGTTCCAGACCAGCCTGGGTTATAGACTGAGTTCCAGGACAGCCAGAGGTACACAGAGAAACCCTGTCTCAAATTATATATATATATATTAAAGAAAGTAAGCAAGCAGGCTGAGCAAGCCATCGGGAGTAAGTCAGGTGGCAGCAGCAGCAGCAGCAGCAACAGCAGCACCCTCCACAGCCTCTGCATCAGCTCCTGCCTCAAGGTTCCTGTCCTGAGCTTCTGGATGATGAACGGAAGTGTAAGCTGAATTAACTCTTTCCCTTGCCCGGTTGCTTTGGTGATGGTATTTGATCACAGCACTGGAAACTCTCAGACACTGAGGTCGGAGCTAGAGCATCATGCCACAAGTCAAGGGATTCAGGATTCCTGCAGGCTGGGACCACGGAGTGTTGGGCTGGGCATAGCCCTGTGGGTCCTAGTCCACCAGCAGCCCCAGAAAACGATTAAGAGAAGCAACAGGACAACCCAAGCCACGGAAGCTTGGGTTCCATTTCTTGAGGCTGAGGCTGGATTGTGTGGGGACAGAATGGACATGAGGTCTCTGTTCTGCTCAGCCGTGCAGGCAGCAGCCTTTCCGTACATTCTCTATCAAGGAAGGGCCAGAGGGCTACCGACCCCAGAGATCATGTTCATTCCCACTGCAAGTGCAGGGCCCTGAGGCAGTGGTCCCCTGCCCTCCGCCCCTCCTCTTTGGTGATGCCCCTGGGTTTGTGACTCAGGTCTTCTGACAGGTTCTCCATAGGACTGGGTGCCCGGACGGCCAGCTTTGGGACAGGGTGGGACAGGGAGGTCTGAGGACAGAGAAGGGGACATGACTTTTCAGGTTGTCTAGGAAGCCGTGAGCTGTAACCACTGCAGATGGGAGCCAGGGAGGGAGCACTCATCCGTGGAACACACAGGCAGGATAAGGATGGAGGCCATGCAGTCTCTCCACTCTGACCTCCTGGAATTAGGTGGAGCTGCAGGAACCTGAGAGCCTATGAGTATGAGTGACAGGAACAGAGGGGATGGGGCGGGGACAGGCGGGACCTGGTAGGCTTCTACTGAAGAAACCAGACACTGACTTGGTGCTTCTGGGTGCTCTGGCTGCCAGGGTAGGGGCTGCATAGCAGGTGGCCCAGGTCCAAGCAAGGTTCAGCTTTACAGGTCAGGCAATCACTCAGCAATCTGAGGTAGGGCCAATGGCTGCCACATGTAAATAAGTATCACGGTGGCCCGTGTGCAAATAAAACTTTATTGACAAAAAACATGTCTAGGGCTAGATTTGGCCCAAGGCTGCAGGTCTCACGTCTGAGCTCAGTAGAATCTGCCAGTCGGGGTCAGAGCTAGTTAGATGCCCCCTCTTGGCACAACACCCTACCCCACAGGATCCTGGCCATGTCCCCATCAGGGCTGCCTTCCCTTTCCTCCAGAGCTTTTGCCTGTTCCAAGGTCTAGTCTATGTTTCAAAGAGGAATGGAAAACCAGGGTCATCTGCCCCACCTGGCTGCCTCTGCCCCACCTGGCTGCCTGCTGCTGAGATCCCTGTGGGCTTCTCTGCGGCTCCCACGCTCCTCCTCCCTTGGGTCAAACCCAAGTCTCTCTTGCAACCCACCAGCAGGCCCTGCCCCCACTCTTCCCTCTGCTCCAGCAGGCCAGGATCTGCTTGGCCGCAGCACCATTGCTCATCTGTGGCCCTTGCTAGACGGGAAGCAGATGGAAGCTGCTGACAAATGAGGGAGTGCAGAGCCCCGATACCCTGCAGGGCACACTGCCCCAGCACCATGCCCCTGGAGCGGATGGTGTCCCACCTCCCGGCAGCCCTACATCCAGACCAGGACATGCTGTGCCCACCGTCCTGTCAAGGAAACCTCTGTCCTGAGCCCACCTGGCCCTGGCCAGAAATGAAAACATAGCCGTGGCCAGGCAGGAATAGGAAGCGCTTGAGGGCTTTTAATGGATCCTGAGCCAGAGGCTGGGGACTGAGGCAAAAATATGGCATCCTTCATCTGGGGTGGGGAGAAAAGTAAGGGAGGAGCGAAGTTTTGTTTCTGTTTTTGTTTTGCACACTGTAAAACCCAGGCCTCTCTGTGAGACGCATGTGCGGGCCACCTGCAGCCTCTGCAGAGCCCATGAGGCGAAGCCTGAGGCCCCTGAGGCCCAGCCCATTCCTCTAGGCCCAAGGCTGGGCCCTTTTCTCTTTACAATATAAATAGAATTTCAAAGTACATGTGGACACGGTGGTCACTGGGCACCCAGCAGATCCCCAGGGCCTGTCTGTGCAGTCCTTTATCACTTACAGACGAGCTGTCCATGCTGGGCACTGTGCTAGGGTGGCAGTGGCCACTAGTAAAGAGCAGGCCCGAGTAGTCGGTGTCCCTGTCACTCAACCCATGCTGCAAGGGAAGGCAGCACCTGCTCCCTTGCCTTCAGCCACACAGAGGCTCTGTCAGGGGTAAGGCTCATGGGACCTCAGGCCACAGCCGTGGGACTCAACCACCTTGCAGCCTGGCTCACCCATGGGGCAGCTGCCATGCCAGGCCTCAGAGGCAGACTCTGCATGGGGCGGGGGACAGGACAGGGAAGGGACGGCTCCTGCAGGGTCCGCCTCCCCAGCAGGAAGCAGAAGACACTACCAGCAGCCACCACACAGGCCACCACACAGGCCAGCGTGCGCTGGCTGCTGTCTGAGTGCCTCTCCAGCTGCTGAGGAGTGAAATGACCTCCACAAGCGGCGAATAAGGACGAATCTCCTCGGGTCTTGGTTCCGAAGAAAAGAGTAGGTCGCTGTCCGTGTTTAAAGCCACGAATCTAGAAAACAGGTTGGGGCTGTGCCCCAGTGTCCTCGGCTGGCGTCTGTCACAGGAGGCTCTGAGATGCCCCATAGCACCTTTAGGAGAAAAGCACAGCCAGGATGGGTCCCACGGAATCGCTGCAGTCCAGGGACACTGGCCCCTCTCCCTGAGTCTGGCCATGTTGGATCCTGCTGGTCCTGTTGCCCAGGTAGGTCCCGCAGTGGGAACGGGAGTGGGCAGCATCTAGAAGGGTGCCCCAGGTCGGCCCTGCGCTTGCAGCAGGCTCTCCACGAAGGCCAGGTATTCCGGGCTGTGCCCTGTGTCCTGGGTGGTGGTGGTTACCATAGCAGCCACCCGTGGACGCTTGGCAGCCTTCACATCCTCTGCAGAGAAGCCGGGCTCCTGTGGAGTGCCGGTGCTCAGGGACTGCAGACGCCAGGGACACAGAGGGAGTTAGTCTCAGAGGGGCTGTGTTCGTGTAATGACAGAAGGCTGTGCTGCATTTCATGGTGCATTTAATTCTGTGAATCTGTGTGTTTGCCTGCCTAAAACACCCAATTGGTCTACTACAGAGCTGAAAGGCAGGAGAGAGAAATAGGCTGCCAGGCAGGGAATAAATAGAAGAAATCTAGGTGGGAGAGAAAAGAGTAAAAAAAGGAGATGGAGAGGAGGCCACCCGGCCAGCCACAGGCAAGAAGGAAAGGTAAAAAGCCCAGAGGTAAAGCATAATTAAAGAGAAGGGATAATTTAAGCTAGCAAAGCTGGCTGGAAACAAGCCAAGCTAAGGCAGGGCATTCATAAGAAAGAACAAGTCTCTGTATAAATTGGGAGCTGGGTGGCAAGTCTTCAAAGTGTAAAAAACAAAAACCTCAACTACAGAGAAGGATCAGGCTGTTGCCCTGGCAAAGCCCTCAGGACCGTGACTGTGCCTGTCACTGCACCCTGATTCACACCCAAAGGGTGGTCCCCCACCTGCCCCTGGCTGAGCAGAGTGGCGAGCCCTACATGACTGTGGTCAATGTCAGAGCATCATTTATGGTCAAGGAGGAGGGGACAGCCTGTCTGGGACATGCATCTTCCATGCCTCAGAGGGAGGTGCCCAGGACACTTACCAGCCGGGACCGTACCCTCTTGGGCAGCTCCTCTTCCAGGGTGAAGATGTCCCCTCGTTTCACCGTTAGCTGAGACCCGTCCTCAAACTCCACCTGCAGCAACAAGGGGTGTCGGCATGAGGACGGCCACAGGGTGCTGCCCTACTCACCGAGAGCCCAGAGGTGTCAGGGGCTCAGGCAGCCTGGGTCAGCCCAGGGCTGCCAAGGTCCCAAGGAGGCGCTGGGTGACAGATGACTGACACGGGCAGGACGTGCCTGGGCAGGAGGCTAAGGGGCTCACAGGGTCCTTGGGACCCGCTTCTCTCGACTCAGAATGGCAGCTGTGGCCCACCGCTCCTCCAGAAGTGATGCCCAGGGGCTGGGTCGGGCTGCTAGCTGGGAGGCAGCCTCCATGGGGGCTCTGACATCTGGTCACCTTCTCTGGGGACAGCAATGAGGAGCACAAGCAATCAGGGGCCTAGGTCCCTCCTGGCTGGGTAAAGTCATTTGGAGGAAACCAAGGCTCCTCTGGTGCCTTGCAGGGGACACTAGAAGTGCCCTTGGGCAGGATTCCTGCCAAGGCAGCAGCTGGACAGTCCCGTGCACTGGGAGTTGGTTTCCCCCGCAGGAGGGAAGTTGTGGAAGGTGCCTACTGCCACCCGCCTGTGATACTCCAAGAGGCAGGCTGTAGCCCAGCCCCAACATTCTGAACAGCTGCAGCCCTCAGCCCAGGCTGCCCTGCGCGGGCTCACACAGCTTCTGGAAATATCCTGAGAGGAGTGTGACGGGCATGTGAATACACTTGTCCCTAGCTACCGGGCTTCAGGGTGGGGTAACCCGGCTGGCCTACCATTTTATGCCAGCACCTTGTTTATCCACACATGTGCTGTGTGTGTCCCCACGCTGCCTGGTCTCCAGGCAAAGGGATAGCTGTGCCGGACTGTCTCCCGCTCCCCCGCAGCCATGCTGCAGTTCTGTTGTTTGGCTCTGTGCATCGTGCTGTTTTGAGACAAGGCGTTGCTGTGCAGCTGCAGGCTGGCAGCTCCACCTCAAGCTGTTTGGTGGGCAGCACCGCACTCCTGCCTCCACCCCGGTGCAGTGCAGTGAGTCCCGAGTCCCCAGCCCTGGCCTCTCTGTGAGCACTGACAAAGTGTAGGCGGGCAGAGGCTGGGTGTCTGCTAGAGGGCTGCTATGGAGGCTACTCACCTGGTAGATGAGGCTGGTGGCCGCGGAGATGAACCTGGCTCTATACAGGTTGCCATCTGTCCACCGCAGCTCCACCAGCTCGCCCTCCGGGGGCGGTCCTAGCCGCAAACAGTCTCTGCTCTGCAGGAAGGGTATGGTAAGATGCAGTCCAGCATGCTCACCCCGTTCCTCCCCTCCCTGCCCCGCCCCTCACCGTGATGCTTTCTGGGTACAGGTTGTCACTGTAGGAGCCATCATCAAAGTTGACCTCGTAGAAGGTCTGTGCGGTGGTGCCAATGACACGGCAGCGATAATATAGCCCATTGCGGTTCTTGGTGATGACGACCTGACCCAGGGACACAGCACGCAGGAGCTGGCCCTAGGGGCGGGGCAATGGCGAATGTGGGTGGGGTTTTGCTCAAGTGGACAAGGCCGGTGGTCAGGGCTAGTACACATGGGCGGGGTCCCCTGGTGCAGCACTCACCCCAAGGCCGCCTGCTCTGTGCTTGAGGCAGGTGATGGACACCACATAGGGCCAGTCATCGGGCTCCATGAGGACACCAGCGGCATGTGCGCAGGTCACATGGAAGGACGTGGAGCAGTGCTCATAGGAGCACTGGATACAGGCACCAGACACCCTCTTCATGCGCTTGCGGCAGTACACACATTTCTGCATAGGATGGGGTGCAGGGTTACCAGCAAGGCCAGAGAGGTACCTTCCAGAACAGGCGGGGGCAGTCATCTGAACCCAAACTGCCACTTCTCAGGCCTCCTCCCTGACCGCGTCCCCACCCTCCCTGCAGCACAGAGCTGGGGGATTGTGTCTCCTGGTGCAGTGCCATAGGGTTTAAATTGTCAGGACCATGGATGGAGAGGCCACGTGCACAGACAGGGTCTTGGGATTTGCGGTCAGCATGCTATCCACCTGAGCCATAATGCTCTCACTAAAGGCCATCCATTGGGCCTGCTCAGGGGACCTGTATCCTTGGGCTGGAACATGGCCCCTGAACTTGTGACTCTGACACCAGTCACTGGAGAGCCCAGGCTCTGGCTGTGAAGCAGCCTAGTCCCTCCAGGGCTCCACAGTGGCCTTCCACTCACCGTGTCCTGGCAGCAGGGGAAAAGACCCAGGCAAAACAAATACAGGCACTGTCCATGCCCCTACCTGAAGGCCTGGCCTCTAGCTTGACCACAGCCAGCTGCCCCCCCCCCCAGTGTGGTGCTAAGTGCCTGAGATGAGGCTATCCCAAGGTCTGATCTGACCTGAGATGAGGCTATCCCAAGGTCTGATCTGACCTGAGATGAGGCTATCCCAAGGTCTGATCTGACCTGAGATGAGGCTATCCCAAGGTCTGATCTGACCTGAGATGAGGCTATCCCAAGGTCTGATCTGAGTCATCTTCATTCCCTCACCTCCCGACTAGGCCATCTTCCAGATGTAGGCAGCCCCTGCCCCATGCCTTGCACACAGGGTAGGCAGCCACTAGGCATAGATCTCAGGAAGCCGGCTACATCCAGGCCTACTCAGCCCATATGCAGGGGGGGGGGGTGCAGGGGAGGAGTTGCAGAAAGACAGGCCCAGGGATAGATGCTCTCCAGATGCCATGGCAGTGTAAACTCCCTGGGAAAGCTGAAGCCCAGGAAGGTCAGGAGTCTGTCTAGAGGCCACAGCACCCAGGCAAACTCGGACCTCCCCCATAATCCTGCTACAGAGAGTGTAAGTTAATTCATGAACCAGAAGAGGCCATGCTCACATGAGCCTCAGCATGTACCATGGAGTGCCTTCAATCCAACAGACACTAGGGATCAAACTGGAAATGGGTCAAGGATGGGGCCAACAGTTCTCAAAGTGACTGCCCAGGGAAACCACTGGACTGGAGGGGGGTTACGTGCAGTGCGCCAGGACACAGGAGCTGTCCCTGCACTGTGTCCCTGCATCCTGATCACGGAGAAGGGATGTGGAAAGGGGCTGCATGCCCAGGGCAGGGATGGAGGACACGGGAAAGGCTGTGTGCTGCGGCATGCATGCAAACAGGACTATCCTGCATCACATGCTCCAGGATACAGAGCCCAGCAGGTGGGTGAGGAAGAAGGCTGGAGAGATGGCTCAGGGGGAAAGCACTTGTCCAGCTCTGAGGAAACGGGTTTGCATCATCAGAACACATGTAAAGCCAGATGTGGAATGTGTAACCCAGTGTTGCTCTGGCGTGATGGGAGTCAGCTGGCTGGACAGGCAGCTGGGCATGCACATGGAAAGGCCCCATCTCAAGCAGGATGGAGGGCAAAGACTGACCCCTGAAGCTGTCCTCTGGCTTGACACATGCCTGCACATGTGTGCACACACACAGGACACACTACTGTGTCTGTAACACAGTGGAGGAAGATGAAGCTTGGGACATCTCTCTATGGGAGCTAGGAGTCACAGCATAGGACAAGGCTCCTCTTTCCCAAGTCACAGAAGGCAAGCACTGTAGAGGGCAGGTTGGGCAGGGGGAAGGCTGGAGCTGCCAGGGCCTGCTGGGACAGCTCTCATGCAGTGCCAGCACGCTGAACTCGGGCACTAATAGCAGCTGGAAGTATCTGTAGAGAGACCGGGGCTGCCTGGCTGAACCTGGGGGTAGGTTCTCACCTCTGTGCCCTGTGCACTGCACAGAGCCCCCCACCCTGCCACAGAGCTATGGGTTTGGAGACATGACCGTCCTAGGACAGGCTGGGGCTATCCTCCCAGGGTCTCTTAGTTCACCCCAGGACTAAAGCTGGCGGACACAGCCTTGAGGACCTACCAGTTTCCATCGCTGCTCAGGGATGGCACTGACATCCACGGGGTTGCGTTCAATCACATTCAGGAACCGTACCTCGGGGACTGCAATGGCGCAGATCACGTGAATCCACCTGAGAGGTTAGGGCAGGGTTACAAGTGCACTGCTGGTGGTTCCAGGCTATCCCCAAGGAGCCAGCCAGGCCAGGTTGTGGAGGGGTGGGGAGGGGAGGTTTATAAGCATTCAGGACACTGCTCCCTTCATGTTGGATACCCTGTCTCTCTCTCTCCGACCTTCATGGAAGCTGAGCAGGGAGGCAAGAGAGTGACAATCACACAGGGCAAGGCAGAGCACACACCTGTGCTCCGTGGTCGTCTGCAGTGCTCCCCCCCGGATGTTGCACAAACAGCATTCCTGAGGGACAGATTAACATGGTAAGGTGCAGTCACCTCCATCCAAGGAACATCCTAGGGATAGCTAGTGTCAAGCCCCAGCCTCAGCATAGCTAAGATCAGGACCACTGGCCCTTGGAGGCCTAGGCCCTCCCAGGCTTTAGGCGCCAGCCAGTACAGGTAAGTTACCGCAGTCCAGGCATGGGCCGCACACCGGGAGCATGTCCAGCCCTCCTTGGCCAGCTCAGGCCGGACACCGTAGCAACCTGGAAGACAGTAGAGTGCTGGGACCAGACAGAATCTGTCACCTGAACACATGCAGCCCCCCTCACACCTGCAACCCTCCACACCTGCAACTTTCTACACCTGCAGCCCTCCACACCTGTAGCCCTCCCCACCTGCAACTCTCCCCACACATCTGCAGCTCTCCACACCTGCAGCCCTCCACACCTGCAGCTCTCCCCACTTGCAGCCCTCCCCCCAAATCTACAGCTCTCTACACCTGCAGCCCCCCACACCTGCTGCCCCTCCCATACACTGTACAGTGTAGCCTCCTGAGCCAGAACCCTGGACAGTGCCCCTCAAACTCAAAATGCACTGTGTCCAAAAAGTACTCCAAGCCCCCAGAGTCCTTCACACCAAGATGGCTGTGGAACACTCACTGGCATGGACCTGCAGACAGCAGTGAGCACAGGAAATGAGTGGGCTTGTACCATCCTCGCCGACGTAGGAGTTAGCAGGCAGCGGCTCCGTGTTCTCCCCACTCGAAGTGAAGCACATCTCAGGGATCAGTGGCCGTGTCCTCTGGCCACTTTTGGAGGGTGGCTGGACAGCACTGTCCCCTGGAGCAGCTGGGACCTCTCGCTCTGTCTGTACCGACTGCAGAGGCATGGACATCAGGAGGTGACAGAGGGCCCCATACCCAGCGCAGGGCCAAGCAGGCAGCTCACCTGGCTGTAGGGGTAGAAGAGGGTACAGATGGCGCAGTAGGGCTCGTTGAGGGCAGCTGCCGCATTGAACTTCCTCTCAGCTTGGAAGCTGGCTGCCTTGTTCTTCCACTGCAGCGAAAGTAGGGACTTCAAGGCCTCAGGGTCACTGACATCGTCCTCTCCTGAGAATGGGAAGGCTTCTGTGACGGATGGAGGGACTTGGGTTGGAAGACAAGGCCCCAGCAGAGCATCACTCCACTGGTCCTCTGTCTGAGCAGCCCTGGCTGGTACTCGGCAGTCTGCATTTCTTTTCTTTTTTTTTTTTTTTTTTTTTTAACTTATTTTATTTCTATTATTTTATGTTCATTGGTATGAGGATCAGATGCCCTGGAACTGGAGTTACAGACAGCTGTGAGCTGCCATGTGGGTGCTGAGACTTGAACTCAGGTCCTCTGGAAGAGCAGCCAGTGCTCTTAACCCCTGAGCCATCTCTCCAGCCCCCAGTCTGCATTTCTTGCAGGGAGCGGGGGCTGATTTCCCTCCACGGTCTCCCCAGGGCCTAACCTAAAGCCTAGACACCAAACATGCCACCCTCAGACACATCCTCGAGTGTAAAGCTGGGCACAATGCTGCCCACCTGCCCGGGAGCCATCTACGTGGCAGCATGGCCATGATGGGCAGGACGGAGGAGGGGCTATGCTAGATTCAGGCCCTGCCACCTGCTAAGAGACACAGGGCATGGAGCTGGGGGAGATTTGCCTGCCCAGAACTCTCAAGAGAGCCTTCTGGGAAGAGTTCAGTAGGGAGCCAAGAGCCTGGGGCCTGGTTTCCACTGTTCCCCAGATTCTTGTGACTCCTGTAGGGAGGTCTTGAGGTCCTGGGTACTTCCAGAACCATGCTGCTAGCACAGTAAGGCCTTGGGTGGAGGAGCTGCCACTGGCTCTCAGACTCTGCCAACAGTTTTAAGGAGGAACTGAAACCCATCAGGGCCCGCACACACTGCCACTGCCCTGCTGGCCAGCAGAGACCCATATGCCCAAGGCCCTGGGGTACCACCTGCATTCACCAGTGCCCCCCCCAGCCACACTCTAAGCGTTTGCACCGTGTCTGGGGACACTCTAGATATCTAGTTCTGCAAGCGCTGATGAAGCTCCTGTGCAGAAGTGAGGGTACAGCCCTGGGACAGAGGAGCTGCTGCCAGAGCCTAACATCAAGGCCCCAAACCACGACCTGCGCACCGTACCCTCTGCCATCACAGCCTGCATGCCGCACCCTCGGCACAAGGTGCTAGCACCACGCCTCAGCCGCCTGTCTCAGACCCTGAATGCTGCAGCCCATTGCTGGGATGGGGAGTGGAATTATGGCCCTGGTTGGAGATGGCTGTGATCTAGGCCCTCCCTGGTCACATGACATTTGAGGCACTAGGTCCCGGCAAGTGACTGGTTGAAAGGTGGGGTCAGGTGGAGGTCCTATAGGCCACAAAGAACTGGGGTGGTTAAAGGTGTGTTAAGTGTGAGCAGCTGGGTCCCTGCAGAGGTGAAGGGGCAGGGAATTCTGTGGTCTCTCACAGCATGGTGACGAGGGTGCCACGTTGTAGGAGGACCTGACCCCAAGGGACTGGATGGGTGGGCACTGGCACCTGTGCAGAGGGGCTGGCCAGGTCCCCATGCAGGTGGGAGGAAAGTGGCATGGTGGCGGGGTCTTGCTCACCTTCATCACTCGAAGCCTCCTGTTTAACCACAGACAGTGGGGACCGTGTAGGTGGACGACCCAACGGGTGACGCCGGCTTTTTTTGATTTCTACCTTCAGCTTAGAGAAGGAGGATGGTGCCTGAAACACACAGCACCATGGAATGCTGGACCCTGTCACCCACAGCATGCACACATGCACTCACAACCACGCCTGTCACCCACGACACACACTGACTCCAGCTGCCACCCTAGCATTCATATGCCACACACAGCTGTGTGGGCAGAGCCACAAAAGCACCTGGTGGCCATTAATCACCCACCTGTGCATCACCAGCTTGGGCCTGGCTTTCGTCTTCGGGTCCCAGCTCCATGGGTGCCAACTGCGGGTGGGCAGTGCGCTCCCTGTCCCCATCTGCGGTGTTGGTGTGTGGAAGCACATACAGCATTGGGATGATGGGCCGCGGCCGCACCTCTGCCTCCTCACCTGGTGCCCCAGGAGGCACCACATTGAGGGGTGCTGGTGGAGGGCCCCCCTCTGCGGCCATGGGGCCCATGGCCGGCACCGGAGACTTGGGTGGGGGCTGTGATCTTAGGACTTCCTCAGTGGGTAATAGGGCTGGTGGGGAGGGTGGCAACAGGGGTGACAGGGGGTTGGGGGTCTTCTTCTTGCTCCGGGCCTTGGTTGGTCGGGGTTTGCCTCTGCCATCCTCTGGGGGAGAGAACGCATCATTCAGAACCAAAGGAATCAGATGGAAGCAGGAGACCATGCTCTGTGGTGAGAGCACAGTTGGCTGTGGACTCAGGATCCCCAAAGCCTGGGTAAGTTCAGCCTCCAAAAGTGACCAATACTGGGCCACTGCACTTAAAGAGATTACTGAGCTGGTGCTGAACTGCAACCTGCCACCCCAGCACTCTGGGCACCCTTGTCTAAAGAAAAGACAGAAAGAAAGAAGAGGGAGGGAAGGAGGGGAAGCCTGGGTTTTCAGGAAGTGGCTGTGAACATATCTGTCCCAAGTCATGGGCTCCTGCCAGCCCAGCACAGGTGTGGGGAGGAGTAGACTTGTACAGTTGGTGCAGACAACATGAGGGACCCAGCAGCAGATGGGCCTGAGTGTTAGAGACAGTTCCTGACAGGGGACATGAAGATGGGACTTGTCTTGGTGGGACTTCAGTTTGGTGCCATGATGGCTGTACAGCACATCACTTAACCAGGGACAGGTGACGAGGACAGAGTGATCAGGGGCTGGTCACTTGTACCAAGTTCTCCAGAGGACCCCACCTGACGTGTGCCTAGCTCCCAGGGCTAAGATGTCACTTAAGGGATTCACGGGATTATATCCTGCTGTGAGTGGCCTGGGCGCCACTCGAGTTTTAAGAGCCCTAGACTGAGTGGCTCGTGGGTAACAGCTATACCCCAGGCTTGGAAGCTGACACCTGTGCTGTCCAGGCAGGCTGCTGATGGGAGAGGATGCACACTGGAGTATCATACCCTCACACCCTCCAAGGGCAAGGCTCACTAGCCTGTATGGCAGCGTGCACTCTGCTGGGTCTCTAGTGCGTTAGATAGCACAGCCAACCCCTAAGACACTCAGTTCCCCAAGCTGCAATGAGATACAGGTAGGAACAGGTAGGGTGTTGCCCAGCCCCCAGACAACAGACCCCATTAACTTCCATACTGGAGTTGCTGTGGTCACCAAGGACCAGGATGAACCCCGACAGGATGTGTTCTTGGACCCAAGGAAGGATGTCAAGTGTAACCTCAGGAGTCTGTTCCTATGACCATGGCAGCTGCTGTGGAGTGACCATGTTGAACCTGGCATGGTGAACCTTCACAGCCCTTGGTGCTGGACTACAGGATCCTGCCCTAGTTTTCTTATGACCAACAACGGCTGTGGATCCTTGGCATCTCCAGGCTCTGTATGGCCATGGGATAGCCCGGAGCCCTTATCAGGAGAAGGCCAACAAGGGCACCTCAAAGCCCACTGCCTCACCACAGACTCACGATGGCTACATCAGTGGGAACACACCTGCTTGGGGGTCAAGAAGAGAAGGACTGTCACAGTCTGGTCCCTCTGGAGTGTTGGGGTGAGCAGTCTGGTGGAGAGGTCCTTCAGGGGTGGCTGGGAGCTATGGCCTGGTGTCCCAACATGCCCAGCCTGGCTGGTTGAAAGTCACAGGCCACAGGAGGCCAAAGGGTATGGTAGGCCACACCTCTACAGGTGTGTGCTCTGCTCTAGCTACTGAGCCTGACACACCTGGAGGGCAGTGCTTTCTAGCGCAGCTGACCCGGAACTGGACAGTCACAACCCAGCTGAGGAGCTGGGGATCCCAACCCCTCACCTGCTGATGCCCCCTCAGACAGGCTATGATTGGGTGCCCCACTCAGTGCCCAGCACCCCGTCCTGAAAGCAAGGCCATGCTGAACACCATCCACGCGTTCCACAGTAAAATGTCACCTATCACAGGACAGATGCTCTTTCTGCTTTATGAGGACTTAAGGTCAAGGAGAATCTTTAAATCAGAGGTGTGAAAGCTTTCAAAGACAGCCACACCCTGCCCTGGTGCCTGGGGCCACGAACCTCCCACAGCAGAAGGGAATCCTTAGAAAGGTTTAAGGATTCTGAGGCCACCACAGGATCCTCAGAGGAAGCAGGATGAGAAGTAGAAATTGGGGAATGCCACATTGTTAGGTGGGTCAAGGGGATCCTCCTCACACCATACTCAGGAAGGGGGAGCACCTGACACCAGATCCACAGGGAACAGACATCAGTAACTGGTCATATGGCTCTGGGGCTCACATGCCAGTGTGGAGGTGGAAGCAGGGAGCTCAGGCTAGTCCTGCAGCTTCTCTGTGTAATTGTGGCTGCTGGCATCATTCCAGCCCTCAGCTTCTGCAGATCCACATGCAACCATGGCAATCACACACAATCCAGAAGGGCGCAGGGATGTCACAGAGCCCTCACGCCTGTAGCCTCCTGCAGTTCCCAGTTTCTACAATAGCTGGCTCTTGTCCTTACTCTCAGTGGGGAGGAGAGTGCAGGGCCTTATGCATGCCAGCGGGTACCTCACCGCCTTGCTCCAGCTGTGCTCAACCGTCTAACTGGAAGCCCCCCCCCTGGATATGTGGCCGTCAGTTTCTTCTTGTCAGCCTTAATTTGCTGTGTAGCTACTTCTGGCTGGTTCTTATTGGCTGGTGTGAGCTGCTGCCCACCAGTACCTCACTCATCCACAGTGCCTGCAGGGCCTAAGTCCACAGCCCATGGACCACTCTGTCTGTGGTCACATCACACTGTGGTCACCCTGCTTTCTGGGCTGGAAGACCCTGTCATGGTGTGCAGTGGATGGGTCTCTGTAACTCTCTGCTGTGGGACAATGGTCTTGTACCCTTAAACGTTTGTCAGTTGTACTGGTTTAATAAAATGCTGACTGGTCAGTTGCCAGGCAGGAAGCATAGGTGGGGTGATCAGAAAAGGAGAATTCTGGGAAGAGGAAAGGCTCAGTCTGCAGCTGTCACCCAGACACAGAGGAAGCAAGATGAGAATGCCTCACTGATAAAAGGTACCAAGCCATGTGGCTAACATGCGTCAATAAGAAGCTCGAGCTAATTGGCCAACCAGTTTATGATTAATGTATACCTCTGTGTGTTTCTTTGGGACTGAAGGGCTGTGGGACCTGGTGGGACAGAAATCTGTCAATGACTCTCCCGAGCAGTCAGTAGGAATCTGAGACACTGTGTTGATGCATTCCAGTCCCTGCCTCACATTCCAAAAAGGCCACAGAGGGAAGCCCTTCCCTACGTTGGTGGAAGCCAGTGGTAGGGATGAGGCAGAGTATGTAGGGCAGGAGAGCTGGGACACTCAGTGCCAGATTGCAGCTCAAGGTTCCCATGTGCACAGGTGCCTGCACCACTGTGCTGCCTCCCTGGGCCGTGTCCAGGCCAGCAGGAACAAAATGCCAAAAAACAGCTGCAGGGACCCAAATCCAGGCTGCAGGCATCCAGCACTGACCTTCCAGGCCCTCAGCCTCGGGACCCTGTGAGGGCAACAGCTCCTCTTCCTCATCCTCGTCCTCAGGAGTGGCCTCCTCTCGAGAACAGCCCCCAGGCTCATCCAGACCAGGAGACTTGGAGTCTTCAGGCTTGGACTTCTTGGGCTGGCTCCGTCTCCGGTGTGACCTGAGGGAGGGCACTGGTCAGGCAGCAGGGGAAATGGAAGCTGCGGTAGTCCAGGGTGGGCAAGAAGGAGGGCCAGGGAGGAGCAGGGCTGGGGTGAAGCAGGCGATGGCAGCGCAGGATGGGCAGGACACTGTGGGCTGGAAGGAGGTCACTTACGCTGGCCCTGGCCTCCTGGTCGGCTCCCGCCTCCTCTCTAGACTCGGCCTCCTCTCCTCCTCAGCCTTTCTCCAGGGTCTGCTCTCCTTCACACTAATTGGTCTAGAATGTAAATTCCAGGGTTTTCCTCTGGCTCGGGGGCCCTCTCTACAGCCCTGCACACAGGGCTCTTAGGACCCATGCCCAGCCTGAGCACAGTAGCGTACCACCTTCATGTTGACAGCAAGGATGGCCCTTGGCGCCAAACTGGCCTTGCTGAATGAAGAGCTAGGGTGAGCATGTGGAGCAAGGGCAGAGGCAAGACCCCCCCCCCCCAGCACCTGAAGCTGCTTAGACTCACAGGGAGAATGATTTCCTGCAAATCTGTGCCCTGGGGTCCCCAAGCCAATAGCCCTCACCCACCACAGCCTCTCAGTGGCCCAGAGCTCGCAATGCCCAGCTCTAGGTGGTGGCTTCTGTGACTCTACCATGGCCTGCCCTCCTTTCCCTCACTCCTGTGGCTGAAACACCCCCTGACCAGGGCAGGACCCCTCAATGAATGTGTGAGCCCCACAAAGATGACCAGCAGGCAAGCAGGTGGCATTCCAAGGAGGGACAGACAAGGTGTGCATGGGCAGTGGCTGCAGGACAGGCAGGGGGGGGGGCGGGCAGGGGGCAGGAAGCACTGACGGAGAGGAGAGAGGCTGGAGACACGGGGCCTTAGATCCAGAGACACACACCCTTCTGCTCTGGGTGGGCAGCCCCAGCAATGGGGTGACTTGGAAACACCGAGTCAGGAAGGAAGCGTGGTGGCTCAGACTGTAACTGTTGTCCCCAGGGTTTAGGGCTGCTCCTGGTAGCGCCCAGTTCAGATAGCACTCATGGCCTGCCATCAACTCACTGGGCCACAGCTTCAATCACTGTCCTGACCCCACTGGAGGCTACCCTTGCACAGCTGACTGGGACACCCCAGGCCTCACACCACACTCTTTACAACTAAGCAGGCACAGCAGCCTGCTTAGTTCCCACAGCCACGGTACTCAAGGTTCCAGGAAATGGGACCTCAGTCCACCTGTGCCATACACAGGGACTCAGGACTCAGATGTGTGCTGCACTTCTCCAGAGCAGGGAGGGCACTGTATACCAAAGAATAGCCATGCTGTATTAGGAAAACAAGCTGGGATCCAGCCCTGTGTCAGCCGTCACATCCCTCATTGACGCCTCTCCCACCAGGCCGGATGGATACACACAGATGTAGCCACCCTTCGGCGGCAGCCACAGCGTGCCCTCGCATTTTGTGACCCTGAGCTGGGGCACAGCCCTTCTTTTTGGCATCTCCAGGTACTCTGGCCCCATCCTAAACTCCTAAGTGGCATGTCCCTGGCTCCACGGTGGTGACCTTGGCACCCCTGTCCCTGTTACAGATAGCCTTTAGACGTGCTACAGCTCTCAGGGTTTGCCCTTGTGCTGGGCTGACGTGCACTGTGGAGCTGCAAGCCTGACTGACTGCCTGCTGGACAGCTGCAGCCTTTAGCCTGACACCAGGTTCTCTCTGGAAGTTCCAGGTGCCACCTGCTGAATCCCGGTGAGGGACCCATGGGTGTGTTCTCCATCATGGGTGGTCATCACCCGGCCACAGGACCAGGATGCACACGGTCACTGCTGCACGTGTCTTTGCTTCTCTCAGAACTCCCTGGAGGCTGGGTATGGCTTTCAGCACCTTCTGTCTCCCGCTGTTCCTGCATTTCCCTGCAGCATCCTGGGCCAGGTGTGCTGGCTCTTCCTGTCCCTGCTCTTCTCCCATATGCTATGGTAGCTTTGGAATCTTTCTGAAGTCTGTATCTATAGCATCCTGGCCTCTGGCCTTGTTTTGAGCTGGCATTAAGGATGTACTGGAAGGTGGGAAAGGGGCTTGCTGAGGGTGATGGCAGGTGGAGGTCGGGTGGCTTCAGGGAAGACCATTGTTAGGATCAGATCCACTAGATGGGTCCTGTACCGAAGAGGCCAGTCCTGTGCCATGAGGCAAGTGGTGTGTCCCAGGGAGTAGGCCTGGCTATGGGAGCTTCTCCACCAGGGCTCCCACTGGCCTATGCAGCCTGGGCCTGCTTGAAAGGCCTCCTGCTGCCCTGTCGAGGTCTGAGCTGTGCAGCTGCTCCTGCAGTCCTGCCCTCTCCCCACCCTGCGGGATCAGAACATGGCTGGAAATCGATGTCAGATTTCAGAAGTCAAGTGTTGGCATGTGAACGACACAAACTCTTCCGAGATGAAAGCAGGTACCCTTGGACTTGAGTGAAGGGTGACGAGGAAGCCTACAGCCTTCGCTGAGAGGCAGGATACACACAGAGAGATGACAGCTGCAGACACATGGTGACCTGTGCCCACAAAGCAGCTAGGAGACCACCTGCAGGCTCTAGTTTCCCCAATATGTCCTGTTCCTGCCACTAAGGCAGACCTATGAGTATTTAAGATATCCCCTGGGAAGCTGTGGTACATTCTGGGGTTCAGGAGACTTTCATGAAGCCCTGGGTGTGAGTGCCGTGGGTCATGGGCCAACTCTGGTGTTGAGGTCAGTAGGCTGAGGTGTCACACCGCCAGCACTAACACCTCCTGATCCCCACATGTCCACAGCAGGCCAGGTTGGCTGAGGACTGTGGCATTGTCTCCTGGTGGTCACCCATAAAAGGGGTAGAGTCCGCCCACCTGTTAAGCTGCTGCAGGAGACTGGAAATGGGGACAGGGTGGGCACAAGACAGCCTGAGCTTAGGCCTGTGCTGAGAAGGCCCCATGTAGACATGCAGGAATACAAAAGGGTAGTTCTTGTAGTGAGGAACCTCTGACAGGTAGAGTTATGGGAACCTCTGACAGGTAATGTTATAGCCAGGACACTGCCCAGAAGGCAGAGGTCAGGGGCGTTCTTAGTTCCTGTCAACAACAGTAGCCCCAGATCCTGGTGTGTCAGGGAGAGAGATGCTCTGACCCCACTCAGAACTCCTGACATGCCTCAGTTTCCCTAAGGAAGTCCAGCATGCAGCCAAGGCACACCCGGGAGAAGCTGGGCACACGTTCATTGCAATCCCAGCCCCATGTGCCTTGGACCTTGAAAGCACGGCAAATGGCCTCCCACCGAGGCCAGGGACTTCAGAAGAAACAAACAGCTCTGGCCTTGTGCATTTTAACAGCTTTAAAGGAAATTGTGTCCTTGGGGGCAGGCTTCATCTGCTACTCAGCCACTGCCGCATTAGCATGGCTTCCAGAGTGAGAAGATGGGATGCCCCTGATGGGAGGGAGCCTGTGAGATCCCATGGGCCACTTCCTCTGACCATAGGGCCCCATCTCTGGATGGCCCTGGTGTCACTGTGGTTCTGGAATGTGGTGCCTATTTACTGGTTGTCTGCTCAGCTGACCCATAAGCCCAGACACTGAGCACCAATCATGTGAAACCACCCAGAATCCTGCAGGCTGTCACCTGATTGCTGGGTGCTACAGAATGTTGGGGAGCATAGACTGCTCTCCAGAGAGGAGGACACAGAGCAGGAAGTGAGGGTAAGACTGCAGTGCACAGGCAGAGGCATCTGAGAGGACGCAAGGAAAGGCTGCAGGCCACAGGTCACTGTCCAGACACAGGCCCATGACTTGTCTGGAGAGCAGTACCCCAGCCCAGGGCTAAGGTAGTAGTGACCTCAAGCTTTTCAGGAGTGGAAGGTAGCAGGTTGGTCACAGCACAGCCAATGCAGGGTGCAGCTGCAGCTGGTTCCAGAGGATGCCATGGATTCTGTAGCATTCGGAAGCCACTGGGATCCTAACAGCTGTGTCTACAGGCCAAGGTAGCAGCTGTGTTCCTAGGTAAAGTCTTGTCAACAGTGGTGGTTCCATAAACTGGCCTGCCTGAGAACAGAATTCTTGGGCCTCCCTGGCTCTTCACAGATAGACAGCTGAGTTCCATGCAGCCCCTATCAGAAGTTCAAATCCCTGAAGGGCTGCCGGAGGCAAGGAATAAGATGGATACCCTGGAGTGAGGGACTGGGCCCAGCTGGACAGGCCTCCCTCTTAGACAAAGGAGTCATGTATTTTTAGCTAGCTCTTACATTTTAAATTAACCCATTTCTATTATTTGTATTTTGCCACGAGGCTTGTGGCCTACTGGCAAAGTTTTGCCGGGCTCTGCTGGAGGCCTCTGTCTCCTGTGGCAGCTACATGGCTTCTTACTCTGCCTACTCTCTTTCTACATCTCTGTTTTGATTTCCTGCCTGGCTTTACTCTGTTAAGCCATTGGCCAAAAGCAGCTTTATTCATTAACCAATAAAAGCAACACATAAACAGAAGGACACCCACACCAGTCAAGCTCCTTCCCAACCCTGCTACTGTACTACCAATGCTAAAGGCCACACAGTGCTCAAGGTTGTAGCAGCCCTGCCCAGGTTCCCAGTCACAGGTGACCACATTACTATAAGAAGCAGGCCAGGAGGGTCCAGTAATCCTTAGGAGCATGGCGTCTGGTATGGGCTTTTGGGAGGGGACCTGCCGGCTCTCAGAGCTGCAAGGGTGCCAAGTTTATGTCACCAGGGGAAGCAGCAGTGAGCTGTTCATTTGGATGTCCAAACGAAGTGGAAACGAGAGAGAGAGAGAGGGGGGGGGGAGGAGGAGGAGGAGGAGCAAGAGGAGACACTCACCTGCGCAAGAGCTTAGCCTTCAGTGAGGCGCGAGAGGCACTCCAGGAGCTCAGCTCAGGGCTGCTAAGGGCTGTGGGCCGAGTATGGTCCAGCACCGTGAGGTCACGGCCCTGCTTCCACTGCTCATAGCGTTCAGGCTGCAGGATGCGTACAAACACGTCCATGGAGATCTTGACCATGTCTTTGCGACATGTGCACTGTGGGGACACAGCAGGCACTGAGTCTCTGGCAAGGTCCCTGGCTCCTACACTACAGACAACTTGGTGAGGATGGGACTGCTAGCCAGTGCCTTCCTGGCCCGACCACAGGCAGGCCAGGCCGGAGAGATGACCCGTCAGTAAGTGGATGCCCAGTCTTGTCCACCAAGAAGTGAAGAAAAGTAGATACAGACCATTTCCAGAGGGCAACATGGTCCTACAGATCAACCACCCAGGACCAGGCAGTCTGGGTGTCATCCAGAAGGGCCTAGAAGTCGCAAGGTGGGGCTTGTACAGAACCAAAGCAAGGAATGGCAAATCCAGACAGTCACAGAGTGCAGCCAGGGCCTGTGCTCACTACCCAAGCTGAACACTGCCGAGCCAGCCCACTCCCAGCTTAGTGGATACAAGCTGTGCAGAGCAGAGCATTGGCCGGGGGCCACTGCGGACACGGCTTTGTGCGCCCATTCCACAGCAGGTGGGGAAACAGAGGTAAGGAGAGTGCAGCCCAGTATCCCTATCCTGCTGACGATGGCAAGAGTGGCCTAGGACATGAGGAAACATCTGGTGGCTCCCGCCCCTTTTTGCTGGGGCTGGGGTGGGAGGCTTGGGATCTGCCTTGGCTGAGAGAGAGGGAGTATTTATGGCTGAGCCACTCCTGGCAAACACGACTTGCTTAATGGGAATGTGCAGGACAGTGGTTGTGCAGGACTTGGCCGGTCAGGAGTGGCCACAGATGGTGCCCATGTTACACATTCCTGGGCCTGGCCTCCCCAAGCCTCCATCAACTGCAGATTAAGGGATCTGTGCCAAGTGGCTCAGCCATCACTTTGCCGTCAGTAATTAGCAAAAGCACCTGAGTTCTCCCACGAGGACCACAGACACTGCCGCAGCCAGCATCGGCTCCATGGCCAGCACCAGCAGCCAGGACAGAGCTGCCAGCACAGGCTGGCCTTGCAGGGAAGTGCCTTTCACAAACTCCATATGGGCTCTGTAGATCTGGGGAGTGTGGGCCCAGAAGCAATGTGTGGAGGCAAGGAGCTGGGTCTGGGAACCAAAGGTGGCAGGGTGGCCTGAGGCTCAGCCACAGGGAGGGCCCACTCCGAGGCCCAGGAGGCGTCCCCTGGGCTCTGCATCTGGTCCTAGTGGCTTAGCCGTCAGCACAGGAGATGGCAGAAGGCTGTCCACAAAAAAAGTCACTCCGCAGAGGAACAAAGTCCATCTGTGCAGAGGGTCTCTGCTCAGGGCTAGGTGTCACCTGGGGAGTGGTAGAGCAATGTCACCCTGAACTATAAAGAAGGAAAGCGGTGGGGCCACCAACTTCAGTCCATTCCAGAGCAAGGTGGGGCCTAGGACTCCATCACCTCCTGGGGACAGAAGTGACCTAAAGGCTACCTACCAATGCACTTTAGGCTCCCTGCTTGGTGAGCAGTTGTCACCTAGTCACCATATTGCCACCTGGGATTCTGGGTTTGCCACAGCCTGTCGGGGCCCAAACTCAGCTCCTGCACCGCCCTGCACTCCTGTGCCTTGGCAACCAGAGCTCCAACAGAGTCCTCAGTGACACCACACTCCACAGGAGCCCCTGCTCACTGAAGTCTGCTAAGAACCTTCCAGAGCCTGAGGCAAAGGCACCTACCTGGAGCAGCCCCTCACTTCTACCATCCCTGCAAACCCCTACCAACAGGGCAGTCTTGTAAGTGGCTAAGGTACTCATCCCAGCAGACACAGCATCAGGCCCATCTGTGGGCCTTGCAGCACCTCACAGAGCCAGGGCTCACTTTCAGGGCCGTTGTCTTCCATGGCTCTGGATTCGCGGACTGGAGTCGCACCCCAGCTGCTGGGCTCCACACCCGAGGGTGAGAAAGGAGACAGTGGCCTTCTGCTCTGGTGACTTCCCTAAGGAAGGCTGGGCACGGTCAGGCCAGGGACATTCTCCAACCACTGACCTGGATGTACTGCCTGCCGAGTCTGCCTCAGAGAGGGATTGGGGATTGGGAGGAAAGGCTCCCCGTGTGCCCCTCTTGAGGCTGCCCTGAGTCCTGAGCAGGCGTCTGTCAGAGACCTGGAGAAAGGGCCTAAGCTGAGGTTCAGCTGAGACAGCTGTCACTCATGCATGGTAAGCTGAGGAGTCATGACAGGGTACAGGTTACCATCAGTGTCCCCAGCCTTCTGTCCACCCTGTCACTGCCTGGGACGATCAACACATCAGAAAGGCCCACCCCTGGAGTCCAGGGAATGAGTGAATGGCAGGGCTGCTGCTGTCTATGGCCGTGCAGCATGGTTTGCAGCTTGGATGACTGAGTCCGCCCCCAAGTGAGAATACAGGGACTCTCGGTGCCTGCTGAGGATGTGGCCTGGGTGTTAGGAGTGCAGGATGGAGTCTGGGTGGGTGACCAAAGACCTGCCTGGTTGCCTCACCCAAGTGCAGAGCCCTGAGCCTTGCCCCCCATGCTCCTGGGGCCCAGGATCAGACCCGTGAGCAGATTTTATCTGTGAGCCAAGCATCTCCTCCAGCAGCTGAGGACCGTGAAAGTGTCTCATCTATAGTGGGGGCATGCACACTTTTCCAGGCCCGTGGCACCCCAGCTCCTTCAGAGCTGTGTCAGGCATGGAGGTTCTGCTGCACCCCCCAGAGGTTCCCACTGCCTCACTCAAAACTGGGCTAGGCATACAGTGGTGGGGCCACCCGGGCTCCCAGGATCCTTTGTTGGCTCTGAGCTCTGGTTGGAGGCTGTTCTGTTCTGAGAAGCTGGGTTACACTAGAACTCACTCATGTACAATGGTGAGCTGGGGGAGGCAGCAGCTGGAGAGGAGATGATTAAAACGAGGCTCAATAAAACCACCAACCCGAACAGCATGTGACTACAGGGACCCTCCTGCTCCGCCAGTATGACAGCGACAACTCTCAGTCACGGCAAGGAACCAGGGCGGAACACGGAGCCTGTTTCTGGGTGACTAGCACCTGCTGGGGTTGTGGGCGTGGCATCCCTAAAAAGCACCAGTTCTAAGGGGGACAGAAAATTTGTCCCCAGCTATAGGTGGACACTGCTTTCTTGTTCACCGGATCCTACATCACCCAGCTGATCACCATGGTCACTTGTGGCTGGACATGTTCTGGTCCCACCTCCTGCCCAGGTGTGTACTGCATCCCTTTGACGCAGACAACACAACCTTATGGGATCCCTGCCCACAGGCATCCTATCCCTGCTGGGTGTCCAACATGGCCTCCAAATTCAGAACAAACCCAAACTCCTCCCCAAACAAGAAACGAAGCCAAGTAGTCCACTATCCCCACTTTCCGTGGGGCTCCGGATCCGTCTGAAGATGGGGGTCCCACAGTGTGAACAGGTGAACTCCTGGCCCGGAGTCTAGCAGCAAGGGTAGGGGCACACCAGAGGCTGCAGGCAGGGCACTGCCCACCCCCACTGACCTGATGGAGACTGAGCCTCTGGACCCACGGCTCAGACCTGGGTTGTCAATCCCTAAAGGTGGACTTTGCCAACCATGGCACCATGTCAGCTGGCCGTGGCTACATGCACCCTTTCTCAATGGCACCATGGTCTCCCAGGTCAAAAATATCTTTAAAAAATTAACATAGCCCAGGCTGGCCTTTACTTGGGGCAATCTTCCTGCCTCAGCCTCCTGAGTGTTGGGATGACAGGCCCCAGCAGAGGAAGGCAGGCACGGTGACTGTAAGGGACATTACTGTAGAGTCTTATGCTCGATGCTCCAGCCCGCTAAGGGTTAAGCACAGAGCTCTGGCTGTGGACAGGGCAATTAGGTGCCAGCTCGGTACTGCCTGGTGGGGTCTATGACCCCGAGCAGACATCAGAGGCATGAAGTCTCTCCTGTGGCACTGTACCCATGACAAGATGTACCTCACCCTCCTCTGGGCACAGGGGCCACTTGTCCTAGGTGACATGGGGCACAAGAGACGATGAGCAGGGAGTGGTGGCGCTGGCCTGTCTGTTCTCTCTGCACTGCTCTTTGGCTGGTCCTTTCAGTTCTGGCCTTTTGCAAACCTCAGTGCGGCCACAATAAGCCAATAACTTGGCACTGCCATACTAGGGACCTCCCAAGGCTGCCCCCAGGGGTCTCCTGGGCACATATGTGCTTAGAGACATGACGACTGTGACAGGGAACAAGAGGGAAACCCATTTCACAGATAAATTTATGGCCAGCCCTGTGCACACAGCTCGCCATGGCACAAATCAGAGGTCAGTGAGACATGGTGGCCGCAGCTAACCACGTAGCCTGGGAGACACATCACTGACAGCAGCGAGCATTGCTGGTGGTTCTCACCTCGTCAGTAAACTCAGTGCTCTCTACCCAGTGCCTGCTGCTATCAGCTCACCACAAGGGCATGGTGACACCACAACGAATGGCTACCTCCAGACTCTGACCTCCAACTCCACAGAAGGCCTCCCAGCTCTCATGTCTACTCCCTCGGGTGTGCCTAACATTCCTGGGAGGACTGGCATCCAGCCATAGGAACTGCGAAGGGACAGAAGCCTCTGAGTGTGGAGCCAGAGCCAGGCTCTCAACCCCATCCCTTGTCGCACTGCAGCTGAGCCTGGTGGAGTCCTGGCGAGTCCTGCCCACAGGAGCCTCTTCTGACGTGTGCAGGCCAGGGCTGGGCTTCTCATGCAGTGTGTGGCCTGTGACCAAGAGAGGGCTGACACAGCAGTCAGCGAGGAGCAAGGAGGAGCAAGGCTGTACAGGTGGCACCCCTCCCTGGAGAGCACCTTTGGTTCTCTGCTCCTGACCTAGCCGTGGGAAGGCTGCTTCGGAATGCCAGGGTTGGCAATGTGAGCAGGCAGACTGTGCCATAGGCCCGTACATGTCACCAGGCCTGGAGAACTCTGAGGGGGAGCGCTGACCTGGAACACCCCCAGAGGCTCACCTCCCCCCCACATGTATACATGTCATTGAACAGGCCAGGAACCTGGAGGGCATGCTGGACATGGTGCCTGCTGTGCATCAGTGGCTAAGTCGCTTGGCCTGTCTGTCCTCGTCCGTCAGCCCAGGGCAAGCATGCTAGACAGTGTGCTGGCTTCTTGGAGCCAGGAGTGGTCCTTCTCCATGCGAGCATGGAGAAATGCCTGGACCTGGTGGTACTCACTCTGGCCCCACCAGGCACTAGCAGCCCTGCCCCAAGCTCATTCAAGGCCCTTGCTGTACATGTGGGAGGCAAAGTGATCCAGGTGGGCTGCTGAACTTTCTGGAGTCTTAGCTTTGTTTCATTTTTGCTGAGACAGGGTCATGCTCTGTAGCTCAGGCTGGGACCAAGCTCATGGCAATCCTCCTGCCTTAGCTTCTTCGGTGCTGGGATTCCATGTGAGCACCAGGTACAGCTCTGAAGCTTCTCTGTAAGGACGGATGCTGACAAGGCAGGAAAAGAGACCTGACACAGGGCTGTGGGGTTTTGATTGAGATAAGTCTCCCATGTTGCCCAGGCTGGCCTCAAACTCTCTATGTAACCAAAGGCATCCTTGAACTCCCTGATCCTCTTGCCACTGCCTCCTGAGGGTGGAGTGGCAGGTGTGCACCACCATGCCTGCTTTCTGCTGGGGACAGAACTAGGGCCTTGGGGCTGGGCAAATCTCTGCCCCAGGACTTGCTTTTAACCTCACCTTAAAACCAAACCAACAAAAAACCCACAAAAACAAAACCTCTGCTGCCAACAGCTGATGCTGCACATAACTGCACACAGAAGGGGCTCTGTGGAGGTGCCCACAGAACCAGGGCCTCGCCCAAATGCCCTGTTGTCACCACAGAAGACCAACTGACACCATCTTCCAGAGAGCCGGTTCCTACCAAGTTTAGATAAGGAGGCCTGCTGTGTTCGTGTCCCAGGCAGAAGCAGGAGTTAAGGCTCACGGCCTGTGCTTGAAGTCGGACCACTGGGTCAGCTCTCCACCACTTAGGTAGGACCCATGAGAGAACTCATCTGATGGCAGTGTGATAGTCCCTGAGCATGTGTGTTACTTTTTCTGGGGAGACCTCGGCCATTTCTGTTTGTGAGACCACACTGCATCTGTTCCAAGACAGAAGTGGCCAGAGGAAATGTGGCTTGTGAGATGGTGGTCCTTCTGCAAAGGCTTCATGAGTCGCGGCAGCTGACTCAAGGGCTGTGCCCCAGGTGACCTAGATCTCCCAATAGCAGGCCTCTTCCCTGTCCTCAGGACAAAGTTGAGCTCACATGTGCATACTCTAGAAAACTCCTCACTGAGGTAGCATAACTGCTCAGCCTGTGACAGTCTGTATGTCTCCACCTATTCCACACAGTAGTGGTAGTGCTCATGCATCTGGGAACGTCAGCTGGGGCTGTGACTGGATAACCCCTGGGCCACCAGAGCGTGGCTTCCAGCCATGGAAGCAGCCTGCACTGAGTGAACAGTCCACACATCTATAGGACTCTCAGCCACGCCTACCTCAGAACACACGATCGCCCCTCCCTAGCCCTGGCACCCCCACTTCCGCCTTTGGATTCCCCAGTCTAGACAGTCTCCATCACGGGAGTCCACACCACGTGGCTGTGTGACTGAGCATGACATTGCTGAGAACTTCACAGGCAGTGGGTCAGAGGGTTCCTTCCCCTTCTACACATGGTTTGTAGGGGGTGTGCACGTTCTACCCAATCCTGCCCCCTTCCCATGGCACCCTGCCTTGGCACCCCTTTCTGGGCTAGGGCCCTCAGCGCCCGTCTCATGAAGCATGGGGATATGCACAGTGCTAGGCAAGGCCGAAGCCTCACTAGCATAGCCAGCAAGCACCTTCCTGGGCGACTCAGGCTGCCCGGCTGCACAGAGGACCTGGCTTGGCACTACAGCGAGGGGTGAATGACTCCCATGCTGGTAGCCCCTGTGCCTTAGGGACACAAAGGAGAAGCTCCAGTGTCTACCATGGACCACATGTTGTTCTACACCCTACAGCCATTAAAAATGCCAAGTGGTACCTGCCCTGCCAGTGGGCAGGAGAGGAAGACAGCTTGCCTGCAGCTCCCCACTGCCGCTGTGCATGTGGGAGGAGGGGTGAGGTCCCAGGAGAATGGGAATAAGACAGAAAGGACACAATCTGTGCACAGGCTGGGGGATGGGGAGGGAGGCTATGACCATCATGTGGGAACAGCTGAGCTGGAGGCAAAAGGTGGGAGGGAGACAGGAGAGACAAGTACTTGCCTGCCCAGGTGCCCTCGGACTCAGATCCTTTCCTGCCTTGCATGGCTTGGCACCCCTTACAGCCTCCGTGTCTACACTGGCTGGGGAGCAGTAAGTCCTGGTCTCCACTACCCACCATGAGGCCAAGAGTCCACCCTCAGCTGGCTGTGTATCCCCCTTACCGGTGGGCACTGCCCCACGAGGGCTGCCCTAGTAGCCGGGTGCACCTGAGGGTGTTGTGCTAGACACCCTGCCCTGACCCTAGCTGGTCTGTGGTGCTGCGGGCCACTTGTTCCCTAATTTCATGCTAAGCTGCCTGACAATGTGAGCATGGCGCCATTGCGGCCAGCACTCTCCAAATGCTGCTTGTTTGTGAACACATGGCTGAGCCTGGAATTGTTTTCACTATCTGGGCAGTTCCTGTTGTGACTGCCTCTGAGACAGCCCTGCAAACTTAGCCCCGGCTGTCACCACTCAGTCTGCCACAGGTGCAAATGATCTCAGCTGCCGTTCCACCAGTCCTGGACATGCAAGGTGTCTAATCAATCAAAACTGGATATAGGTCCCAATCTTGGGTCATGGCACTTCCCCAAGACTTAAGTGTTTCATGAAGACTGAAGCCAGCCTCCTGCAGCCTTGGAGCAGGTTACCAGGTTCATGTCATGTCCTTAGCGAGCACCTGCTCTGGCCTCATGACCAGCCACAAAAGGAAACAACTGCCCACGTAGCAGAGGGGAGCAAGAGCGGGGAAGATGGGGAATGACCCAAAGGGCAAAGCAGCCGATGGCCTGATGTCCTATCCTCAGAACCCACAAAAAGTTGGAATTACTAATGCATGTCAGTGAGATGAGAGACTGGTGGGGAACCCCCCAAGCCATGGTCAGGAGACCCTGCCTCACACAGGAAGACGAGGGGCAGTAGACTACACATGCACACACGTGCACATGAACATGCACAAGGAAAGTAGCAACACAGATAAAAAACTAAATGATGGCCCCATTCTCGGCACAGGGACAACCTGTGGTCCCACCACTAGGAAGGATGAGGCAGGACCAAGCCAGACCATGTCTGATTTCAAAAATGAAAACTAATAAATAACTTGGCTCAACAACAAAAGCCAGTTTGCCAGAACAGCACTGCCCAGAGAAGTGGTCCCTGTGGGGCACTAAGAAATGAAAAACCGAGCCAGCAGTAGTGGCTGGCTTTAATCCCAGCACTCGAGAGGCAGAAGCAGAGGCAGAGGCAGAGGCAGAGGCAGAGGCAGAGGCAGAGGCAGATGGATCTCTGAATTTGAGGGCAGCCTGGTCTACAGAGTGAGTTCCAGGACAGTCAAGGCTACATAGAGAAATCCTGTCTCAAAAAATCAAAAGAAAAACTAAAAAGAGACTAAAGATGGGGTTCCTTGAACACCAGCCTCTGTGCACACAGCAGCAGCAGGGGCGCACTCGTGTGAATACAGGCTGTCCCACCACCTACTGAACCTGAGGTGGCTGTCACACCTACCTGTGTGGCCACTTTGCCATAGTCAATCCAGCGTAGCGTGGCAAAGTTGGTGGACTCAGCACAGTTGAAGCCATGGTTGAAGCCCGCGTGGTAACCATAGGGGAAAGTGATCATGAACTCCCCGGCTTCCTGTGTGATCTACAGAGGAGAATGACAAACTCAGTGGGCAACGCTGGCTTGAGGGCGGCCCTCAGTTGCTGGAGCCCTGTGATGAACTCGTGGGTTCAGCAAGGGCACAGAGTTCAGGAACCTGTGGGACCTTGCCAGGCTTAAAAAAACTGTGTGTTTAGGGCTGGCGAGATGATTCTGCGCTAAAAGGTATTTGCTGCCAGGTCTGACAACCTGGTTCAGTGCCCAGGCCTCACACTCACACTTGACTCCCATGGGCTATCCTCAGACCCTAGCATGCATCCTTGAACACTCACAGCCACAAAATTTATAAACAGAGTTTTTTTTTAGAAAGAAAGAGCTGGACTTGGGAGGCAGAGGCAGGTGGATCTCTGTGAGTTCAAGGCCAGCCTGGTCTACAGAGCAAGCCCCAGGACAGGCTCCAAAGCTACACAGAGAAACCCTGTCTCAACTGCCCCCCCTCCACAAAAAAAAAAAAAAAAGAAAGAGAGAGAGAGAGCTGAACATGGTGGTGCACACCTTTAAAGCCAGCACGCAGAGGCTCTCTTGAGTACCAGGCTAGTCCAGTCTACACAGTGAGGCACTGTCTCAAACAAGCAACCACAGAGAAGAGCTGTGTGGTGGAACATATTAGTCATTCCAGTGCTTGGTGGCTGAGGCAGGAGAGTCACCAGTTTGAGACTAAGCTGAACTACATGAAAAGACCTGGTTCCAGCCCTGGCCGCCAAAGGACACAGGGCAAGCAGAATGTTCCCCATTCTGTATTATGGCTACCATGGCTTGGCCATTCTACCCAGCCCAAGGGACGTCATCTACCACAGGGTAGTACTGGGCCCCTGACTGCTTTAGCCTCTGAGGCCAGGCTGGGGTACACACAAGCAGTATGCCCTGCATGCACAGTGCCCTGCATGGCACCACTGAAGCGTATGGATCTCCATGAGGCGAGTCCTGGGGCCAGCAGCCACGGCTCCACTAACAGCACCTGCCGGCCTGTGGGCTCAGTCCCTGACTCAGGCTGCATCACAGCTCAGCAGTGACAGGGTGGGGAAACTGAGGTTCCAGGAGGAAGAAGAGGGTATCTTTCAGAGGCTGCCGGTCCTCACTGTCCACTGCACAGGCAGGAAGGTCTGAAGAGTGCAGGTGTCTGGGATTCCGAGCTTGACATGTGGCAACAAAGGAGGAAGGTTCCAGAGACCTGGGGAGGCCTTGCCTCTCAGCCTGGCTCATTCTGCAACTCTGGTCACCTGGCTTCTCGTCTCAAGCACACAGGAGATTCACTGGCTCAGGGCTTCCCGCTGGATGGCACCACCCAGGGTGCCTGCCTCGGTGGCTCCCTGGCTGCACTGAGAAGGTGTCGGGGTGTCACCCTGGGCAGCTGAGCTGTGTTCCACATGGGCCTGAGTCCACGTCACTGGATTCCTCTCGGCAGCTCTGGGGAGCACGGAGTGGACACTATGGTGGGAGGCTTGTAGCACCGGCCACTTGCTCAAAGAATGCATCAAACCCAACATGGCCCAGAGCGCAGCCTGCCCTGGAAAATGTGTCAATATTTTTCTTTTCAAATAATTAACTGCCAATCAAGGGAAGCCAGCTACATTATGTTTTAAAATTCCTGCCCAAGTGACAGTCGCTCATGGCACAATGAAGGTGGTGGAGTGTGACACAGGTGTGCCCCTGGGTCCCAGCAGCCGCAGCACCTCAAGGAAGCTTAGCCACTTCATGGTGAGCTCTAAGCGGGCAAGGGGAAGGAAGGTCTGGAGAGTGGTGGCGATGCTGGCTCACCGCTGGTGCTCTCCACTGTCCAGCACTCACAGAGCTGGGGAATTGTCACGTTCGGCCTCCTGGGCAGACACCAGTCATAAGAAAGTCTTGCTGGGGTGCGGAGGCAACAGACTGGGCTCCCGTCACAGGCATCACAGGCACTGTGTCCCCCATGCTGCTGAGCCCCGGGGCAGAGTCACAGTAGTCGGGGCCGGCGCCAGTCAGGGAGAGTGCTGGAGACGCGAGGCAGATGAGGAGGTCGATGGCGGATTACGGAAATGCACACTCTTAATTATTAACGAGCTGGCTATTGATCAGTTTTCCCTTCTAAAAGTAAATACCATTACAGACTCACAAGTGCGGTGCACAGCTGCTCGTCTACAGGGAAGGTGACAGGAATTCTGATGAGGAGACCCGCATCTCGTGTAGGAGAGGACGCTCATCTCTAGCCTTTGCTCTGCCCTAGGTCCCATCCCCAGGTGGGGCAGCTGCCTTCTGATGCCAGACCCACAAGCCTTTTGGGCAGGGCAGGTCCCAGACACGCAGCCCAGCAGTGTGGGGAGCGTGGTTCTCAGTGTGAGCAGCCCCTGTGAGCCGGCTGCCTGGGGCTGGATACCATAAAAGTGCAATCCATGGTGCTGCCAAGACATCACCTAGGGGAAGGATGAGGCATTTACTCTGTACACGGGGGTCTCCAGGCCTGAAGCACTAGCCTGGAGAACATTCCCCACAAGCTGGTTGAAGATACTTCTCACTTCCACAAGCAACAACACTGTCACCCCTCAGTGGAATCTCTGCTTCTCAGAGCCAGAGCTGGAAGCAGCCTCCAGGCTGCACCAGCAGGAAGAACACGGCGATGCTGCGGGTGCCTTGATTGAAAATGTCAGGAGCAATTTCCAACATGCTGATGTCCTGTGTGAGCACGGAGCCGGGGGTCTCATAGAACCCGCTCCTGGGCTGACAAATTGCTCTTCAAAGAGAACTTTAGAAACAGCTGTCTTGAGGGCCCTCTCCCTCCCTCATCCCCAGAGCACACAGCTTGTGTCCTCTGTCAACGCATGCCCAGTTGGGCTGGCCTTCCCTGCTGGGATGTGCCCCATGTCGCCTGAAGAAACCTGAGGTCCCAGGTATGCAAAATTGTCAATCCAGGAATATGAAGCCCACTGCTACCTGTCCCCCAGCAGCTGCCACAGGGCTGACGCACCCACCTCAGACCCCTCCTTCACAGCCTTTAACTCGGCGCACTGAATGGACTCAGTCTCCATGCTCAGGAAGGCTGACCACCCGTTGCTAAGCAGGACACCTTTCCTGTGACTAGCCACCCTGTTAGCTGTCAGCAGTTAACACTAGATGTGGCCTGGACAGTCAGGGACCTGCACTTGGGCAAAGGGCTCTTTGGTTTGGAGACAGCAAAGACCCTGCCATATCCACACTTGTCCTGTGCCCTCCCCCACTTTCCCTGCAGAAGATGAGAGGCCACCTGCCGAGACCAGTGGTTACCAATCCAGGACCTTTCCTGGGGCCTGTACATACCCGGCTGAAGGGGATGCCATACTTCTTCAGGATGATGGGCGAGATGAGTGTCATCTTGTGCCTCAGGAAGGCATCGCAGCCCTGTGAGCTCCCAGGGAAGAAGCCTGGGGTGAAGGAGAGCAGTGTCAGAGTGGGTGCCAGTGAGGGGAACAGTGGTTGTTGGCCTCGTCCTGGGGAGTGGACTGAGCTGAGACCTCAGGTCTCAGTCCTGGGCTCAGTGGAGTGGGTTGCAGCCCAGAAGTATGGAAGACAGAAGCAGCTGCCACTCGTGTGACTGCCCAACAGACACCTTTCCAGCAAGCTCTTAGGAGTCCCTCCTGTTCACAGGACAACCTCTCAGGTGACCTGAGCATACAGCTTCTGGGGGCCAGTACCCCAGGATCATATAGGTGGGCATGGTGGCCTAGAGCATTCGGCAGCCCCTGGAGAGTACTGGAAGCTCAGAGGAGCAAGGCTGAGACTAAGGGTTAGCACCAAGAGACAACACAGGTATAGCACTCTGAGTGGCCTCCAGGTCCCAGCATCTCAGTAGTCCAGAGGAGAAAGTGAGGCCCCACAATACATGACCTCAGGACAGGGAACAGCCGATGTTCCCACTGGGGTCCCCTCGCTTCCCCAGGAAAATGGTCCATTTGCCTCAAAGCAGGACGGCTGTCTCACTGCTCAACCACACCCTGGGGTCCCAGTGTGGATGAAATGCACAGTTCCCAATGGGAAGGAGACCATCCCTCCAGAAGCCCAGGGCAGGCTGGGACTTGGCCACACCTTTTCAGAACCATTACTACAGAAGCCAAGATGGGCAGCACAGGGAGCAACCAAGGCAGGACACAGCCAGCCCCTAGACGGGCTCCTCACCACACCGGCCTGTGTGTCATCAGATGCCTGCTCACCATCACCCCCCCCACAGCTAGGGCCACACAAGTCTGCTGTGGGCAAAGCGGAGGGCGATGATAGAACTGGCCCACAGCCTCAGTCTGAGGAACTTTCCAGAAGCCCACACAAACACAATGCCCCAGCTGCCAGGCCAGCATGGCCTGGTCAGTCTTTGCTTCAAGAGCACATGTTCATGTGTGTGCCTACAGACACGTGCACGGGTGCATGGTGAGCAGGGCTTGGAGGCCCTGGCTGCTGGTAGGAGGCTGAGTTGGAAGAGCAGGCTGCAGAGGGGATGAGGGCCGAGTGCCCATCTTTCCATTTCTTGGTGCTAAAAGTGCCTTGGTTAAAATTATGACTGCTGCCACCGTCAGCTGTACGTCCCCTTTTAATGCACGGCTTAAGTGGCTCTCATTAGGTCCCTAATAAAGGCTCACATCTGAAGTGATTAGCACCCCCACATTAGTGCTCTCCCGCGGGTGCCTCTCCCCGTATGCCCACTTACGGCTCAGCTATTCATTTTCTGTGCTAACCATGAGCCCACTCCACCCAGCTCTGCCATGGGTGGCATCAGTGGCGCATGCCCAAAGAGACCCAAAGGTCTCAGGGCTGCCAAGGCCAGAGCTGTGGGGGAGCTGCATGTGGCCTCCTGCAGACACTGCTGTGTCACGTATCCGACCTCCCTGGCCTGTCCCCACCCTCCACCCTCCCCTGGGCAGACTGCTCAGTCCTTCCTCTGGTTCCAGGCAGATGCCACAACCTGCTGGTTCTTTTGGAGGCAGGGCCTCACTAAGTGGCCCAGGCTGGCCTTGAATTCACAGAGATCTACTTTGTCTCTGTCTCTTGAGTGCTGGGATTAAAGGTGTGCACCACCATGTCCTACAGGCCAGATGTTTGAAGCAACCACTCTTGAGCGTCAGGACTGAAATTCTGCAGCTGGCTCTCCCCTCTCTCAGCTTCTGCACACACCTTCTGGGAAGGCAAGGTGCCACCTTCATCCCCTACTGGCCCTGGGAATGGGGATGTGGCTACTGGGGAAGACAGAGGCACTGAGATCCTGACCATTCGTCATTCTGAGGTTGGCCTTGCTGTTTCCAGAGGAGGCCACAGAGCAAGAACCACCTCACATGCAGAGAGGAGACACTGTCACTGTCAGTGGAGGCTGGGCAGCAACTGTGAGCTGGTGGCTAAAGAACATTTTCTTTGTGTCTTATAAGTAGTGTCAGCTTGCTCAGGACACCCCAGGACCTGTGGCATCACTTCCAGGATCAGAAGGGACTCTGCAGGTGGCTCTAGTGAAAGACCCTAAGTCAGGAGGATCCTAGATCACCCTGAACCCAGCATTCTCATGGGTCCTCAGCAGGAGGCAGGAGGGGGTTGCTGTTGCACTAGATTAGGAAGAGGAGTGGGCCTCTAGCACGGTGGGCTACAGAACACCCGGGACTATGACTATGGTCTGAGGACTCTAAGCAAGGCTGTTTACAGCCACCAAGGTTGTGGTGCTTGGGCACAGCGGGGCTGGGAAGCAGTGGCCAGAGTGGCCTCAGGGACCACACTCAAGCCCACACTGTGAACACTGCAGTGGGAGGTATCTAGAGCGCCATCCAGCTATGGGCTTCCAGCAGATGGCTCCTGAGGGCTGCACAGCTGAGTAGAATTTCCAGAAGAGCTGCCGTAGCCCTGACTGCCCACCAAGGCCATCAGAGAGGCTGAATGAGCAGTCCCTCCCAGTACTGACAGACCTTTCAGGAAGTCAGGACTCACACCTCTCAATGTGTATGTCCTGAGGTTCCCACACACAGACTTAAACAGACAAAGGAACGGGTGAGCTGGGCATGGTGGCAGAGGTCTTGTCACCTCAGCCCTTAGGAGGACACACACATATATACACGTGCACACACACACACACACACACACACACACATCACTAGCAGGCAACCCTCTGCTGTCTGAGCCCTGGCTGTTTCATTCCTTTCTGGCAGCTAGTACCCAAAGCTTTGCCATCACCCCAAGGAGACGACTCAGATGGGTGACTGCAGGGTGGTTGTGTGACCAGGAGACGAGCACAGTGAGATTCACCTGAATGGGCCACCTGCCCACTTCATCTTTGTCCTTGTCCCACCGGGGCTCAGATACCTACCTATGGCCAGGCGCTCCAGGCGCTTGCCGTGCTCCGGTGGAATGGCGTACCTATGAGAGAAGGGAGGCACATCAGAGCCCAGGACCTCTGGCCAGCTCAGTCCACACCCATGGACAGCAGACAGGGCTGTTAGCACCAAACCCCAAAGCAGGGAGTCAGAGTGGAAAACTTCAAGGCCAGGCACAGGCTGTATCTCGGACATGGTGGCTGTCACACTGTGGGCGCTTCTGTAGAAGGCTGGAGCATGGCTCAGCACCCTTCAGGCAGGGTTGGAAACAAGAGGACACAGGAGCCATGGTAAAGGAAGCCCAGAACAGCTGAGAACCGAGGAGTTTTCCAATGAAATAAAAAGGTGGGGGGAGACTCAGCCACCACGTCACTGCATCAACAAAGGACCCAATGACTCTGTCCGAGGAAACCCAGGCACCCTCAGTTCTAGGGTAACTCCAGAATTTCCATGTCTGGACAAGCTGAGGTCTCACTTCTGTCCAGGTCTCTTATCACTCACGCAGCAAAGCCAAGTTCCGCACAGCTCAAAGCACTGTGATTCTGGGAGCCGTTTGGGGTGGGGGCCAGGATTCTGGGAAGCCACAAGAGGCCTGGAAGGAAGCAATTCCCAGTCTGGCCGCAATGATGAATGCGGCATCCCCGGCACACAGCGCCTTCCACTTAATTAGTGCCTGTAATTAGGAGTTGTAAAGATAAGATTAATTGAATCTGGCGGCTGCTGGAAGTTTAATACATTGGAACACACCTTACGTTATCGGGAAGTGCAGCCTGCAGGCCACTGGCCAGGGGTGCAGAAGGGTGGCCCTGGGGAGACAAGCTTGTGGACGGGTGGTAGGGAGCACCGGGCTGGGAACCTCTATGCTTTATTGCAGACAGATGAGGCCACAAAAACTGTGCCCAGCCTCCAGGCCACAGCCAACAAACACCGGGATTTCAAAGCTGAGGCCAGGGTGAGGGTCCAGCGCTGAGCCTGGAGGAGGCTGCAGAAGTCAGGGCGGCCAGGCCCATCATGAAGGACAGCTCCTAGTGGCCACAGTCAAGTGCAGAAGGAACTTTCCCATGGCTCCTGTGGCCTGCACTGTGCTGGGGCATCACTGACACTCAGGCTTGGTATTGCAAGGGGCAGGTCTAGCCAGGCGGTGGTGGCGCACGCCTTTAATCCCAGTACTCGGGAAGCAGAGGCAGGCGGATCTCTGGGAGTTCGAGGCCAGCCTGGTCTACAAGAGCTACTTCCGGGACAGGCACCAAAGCTACAGAGAAACCCTGTCTCGAAAAACAAAACAAAACAAAACAAAACAAAAAAAAAAAAAAAAAAAAAAAAACCACACACAACAGCAAGGGGCAGGTCTGGACTAGGAACTGTGTAGCACTCTGCCACCCAGCACCACGACATCATCTCGGAGCTGCAGCACAGGCAGGTACCCCCACCACAAAGTTCCACTCCCCACAGCACGCTCTAGCAGCTGTGCCCCAGACAGCACATCTGCACAGACATGGATATGCTGCAGACTGACCCAGGCTCTCTTGTTCAGTTCTGGTCACCTCACGTCCTCCTTTCCATGTGTGTCGATGCACACAAACACCCACCCACACCCAGTGCTCCATGTGAACTCCCTTGTCCCCACTAACAGCTGAGAAGCCTGTCCCTGCCTAGACCAAGACATCCTCAGGTGCTTCAGCATAGCAGAGAAGCTTCCAGCAAGCTGAGCTCTGTGGACACTGGGCAGCCCTGGGATAGGTACTGGGTCCAGGAGGGCCCTTCAGTGGCTATAGAAAGCTTCAAGTTGGATACTAAGCAGGTCACTCAAGGACCTGGGATTCTGAGGTTTAGCATCCTAGGAGATGCACAGGCCAGAGACCTCATGTCAGGCAGGTTGCATCCTTCTGAATGGTCCCCATAGTCCCCTGGCACCCACCTCCAAGTTCTAAAGCCTTTGCTGTCCACAGAGTACTTCCAGGACACCTGCAGCAGAGACAGCCTTGTTCTGTGTCTCCAGCATGTTCCACGGACTTGGTCCCCCTGGCAACCATACCAGAGACTGCACTGGCCATCAGGACAGCAGTTCTGTACCTGCACATGGGGGTGGGGGGACTGTGCTGAGGAACCCCTGAGAGACAGACCCAGGTATGGAGCAGAGGAGCAGAGCCTTCTGGGGGAGTGTGGGCTGGTCTGGACGCAGCCCTGAGGGGTATGCTGGTTGGCTGGGTGTGACCACTCCCCCCAGTTAGTGGTGACACTATGTGAAACAAGCCGAGTATGGGCAAAGGTGAGCTTAGATCTAGAGGGAAGCAAAATCTGGGGTCTCCAGGAATGATAGCTGATCTGACCCCTTACCTCCAAGGCAAGTCTTGCCTCCTCAAACCTTAAATTGAACCCACAAACCCGTGTTGGGGCGTGAGCAGTGACTCAGCCCTATCTGCACCCACCATGCCTGACTCTGGGAATGACTGAGCCATGTGGTGAAAGTCGGCCTGGAGCAAACCGGATGCACAGGCGCCCCAGGTGCTTCAACATGAGGCCAGGAGGTATGAACTCTGGGCCAGGCTCACCGCATTGAGTGGTGCCGAGTGGAGTGTCCCAGGGCCATCTGGGGGACTCATGGCACATGGCCCTGAGGGTACAGTAAAGGTTCAAGTAAGTAGGGGGATCTCGGGGCTTCAGGATGCCATGGGTCTCCAGCATGGGAGGAACTGAGCAGCTAAGCCCTGGTACAATAAGATGAAGAGGGCTCAGCGGACACACCAGCCTTCCTTCCTGCCCTACTGCCTGCCTCCCGCCCACGAAGGAGGCCACTATTATTAGTGCAATTTCCGCGGTGTTCTGTTTATCCACCCCCCCAAGGGCTGATGGATGTGAATAATTACCAGACTATAAAAGCCAGCGTATGTGCTGCTCTCTATCGCTCTAAATCATCAAACAAATAAAGCAAGAAACAGCGCTTCTGAATATAATTTTCCCCTCTAATGGCTCAGAATTATTATCAAGAACAATGAAAATAAATAAGCAAAAGGCTCGCCAGTTAAAAACTAAACGGCTGTGTCAGGAAGGGGCAGAAAGGCCTGGTGGGGAGCAGGCTCACACAGAGCCCCTCACCAGGGTGACAGTGAGCCACAGGTCCTGTGTCCCAGCTGCTCTAATATGCTCCAAGCCTCCCGGCCTTGGTGGCCTCTGCCTAGCTCCCACAGGCGGGGTACCTTGCCAGGCCTTTAGCCCCATCTGAGCACCAAGCTCCCAGACCATGCTGGGGACCATCCTGCTCAGTCCCCACTGATGGCTCTCATCCTTCAGCTGAGCCAAGGATAAGGGTGGTGACTCCACAGTGTCTGTGCAGTGCTAGGCAGCAGCTCAGGACAACAGCAACCTGCACAGACCTAGGAAATGGGACAGGGCATTCTCATCTTGCTACAGAGACCACGATGTGTCATGTGAAGGCCCCTGACATATGCATGCACACACGTATGCTTTTGCCATAGCCCAGGATGTTACTGTAGATTCAACTGCAGTGCCTCTCCGGGGCTCCAAGAGCTGACCTGTCAAGGCCACCCTCAGACACAACTGAGGACTGGACTGTGAACAACAGGGCAACTCCTGTTCTGGGGTCCACACAGTCCAGCAGGATGGCTTTCCCTCCACATGAGCCTGAAGCTGCCCAGGCCCCAGTGGGAGCAGGCCAACGTGGCCCTCTGCTTGAGACACAAAGGCCAAAGACAGCGGAGACAGATCTGATGATCACTGGACGACACATCAATCCTCACATGTTTAAACATCTTGGCTCTAAGGGTGAGGTCAGTGTGTCAGCTGCTGCAAACAAAACTTCAAATGGCCTGGACCCATCAGAGAAGCAGGCACCAGGTCATAGACCTCCCTTTGGAAAAGGCTGTGGTCCTGGCCACTGGAGACACAACACCATCTGCCCATAGGCTCAGGAGGCTGGGTGCTATCAACCAACTTAGGGGCAGTGGCCATGATTTCTTAGTGGAAGAGAAAGGAAGGCAAACAAAAAACGATGTCAACAGGGACACATCAAGTGACAGGCCAGCGCGACAGTGGGGAATCGGACTGGAGAGCTGATCCCCAGGGCTGCCTAGAAACTGCTCCAGACACGAACCTGGACAAAATGCTAAGCCAGCCAGCCATGGTGAGCACACGTTTAATCCTAGCACTAGGGAGACACAGGCAGCAGATGTGAGTTCAAGGCCAGCCAGGGCTACATACTGAGAGAGAGAGACAGAGAGACAGAGAGACAGAGAGACAGACAGACAGAGAGAGAGAGAGAGAGAGAGAGAGAGAGAGAGAGAGAGAGAGAGAGAGAGAGAGAA